GATCCCTTTCCAGAACCAAAACACAGCCGTCCTGACTCAGAGAGCTACTCACATCGAGGTGTCACCGAGATGCTCCGATAACAGAAAGGTTACGAGCTCCGCTGACAACCTGTTGTTTCAGTTCAAATGCAAACTTCCACTGAACTTCCTTCCTAACATCTGTCAACATTCAGGACAAACAACTTCAGTCCAAAAAATCAAGTCGGTACTGTAACATAACAACAGAACAGTCCAGTACAATGAAACTTAATGTCTCAGGATATTTTGAAGTATCAGGTATCCTTAATTCTTTGATCCCGTCTTTGGTGATGAGCCACTCAGAGCTGTTATGGTTCTGCACTCTTCTCAACATACGTCTCTCATCATTTACAAAAAAACCAAGTGCTGCTGATTATGGATTTTTATAGGATTCATTTCTATAATATCATGTTGAAATGCATATAAATGATCCCAAAATTCCTGGTGATTGTCGTTGAGTTAAGATTTTGAATTCATCATCAAGGGATTGTTGTTTAGTTTTGTTTGGCCTTACTTAGTGATGAGGTCATGTCATTTTTCAGCCAACACTGAAATGCAGAAAGGCTCATTTATGCACCAAAAAAACATCTGTTTCATGCGGCGTCTTCGTCTCTACCCACATACATCCATCCGTCTTTTACGCTGGCAAGGTTTGACAAGCAATACATCCACTAGAAGGTGGTGCAGAGTCAAATGTTTAGGGGGTTGTGATAAGAAAAAGGCAAAAGAAGCCACAGTGAAAGTGGGCGAGGTAAGATATAGAAGCCTGCAGTTTCTCACTAACTTTCAAAGTCTCTCCACAAAAAGTTCCACCATTTGATTTCCAATGGTTCTGCTCCATTTTGTCTGTTTCATCGGCATCTGTAAGCTTTTAGATGACATGCACAATACAGAAAAAATGAACGCATAGTACGGATAGTAGTATTGTATTCCTCGTTGAATTTATACTAATAATAAAGTCTCTGTCTGGAGAAGCTGTTTTTTCAGACTTACACATCAGCTTGTGAATGCACCATAATGACTGATTCTCGGCCATCTGAACATGTGACTTCAGCACAAACCAAGTGTGTCATTATGATGCATTTGCTATTTTTATATTGTATTTATTTTAATGGTGACAACTACAAACTGTCATTTGATTGTATTTGTGCAAAAATTATTATAAAAAATACATCAGTGAGTTTTTATCTTTTATTTTTAAACTCTGGAAAGCCCCAGGCTAACTCTGTCCACTTCCAGTCTTTATGCTAAACTAGGCTAACCACATCCTAAGTGTTCAGCAGAACCAACACTATTCATTCAACTGAAAATAAATGGAAAGTAAAGGGGAGAGAATGGAGCTCACTCTTCACACTGAAAATCCAAATTGAAATCATTAGGTTGTTTTAGCTTAACTGTAGTGTTTCAGTCCACCAACCTCTGCGCTGACCTACAAAAATTCAGTTCCACTGCTTGTCAAATAATATTTCTTTCCCTATTGTAACGAAACTCCAGAAATTACCCCTGACAGAAGGTGAGAGGTGAAGAAAGGCAGCGATGGTTTGCTGAACCTGTATTGACGGAGGCTGAACTATCCAAACACATTAGATTTTCAGCCGCAGATGCCGGCCGTGTTCCGACTTGAAGTTCAGCACCTGAGCTTCTTAACGCAGACATTGCAATCATGCATTTCGTCTCCGTCTCCTCACAAGCTCTGACAGGCAGAGAGCCTGCGATCGGGGCACAGAGTCGGAAAAATATTTTTCTACTCGACCTCTAGCTGGGCTCATCTTTTACATTATACCACGTACACTCATTCCTTCAGTCATTCATCCATTCAACAGATGAGGGGGTTGAACAAATGCTTTGGTGCCAGTCAGACTGCCAAGTAAAAGTTAATGATCCGTTCTTAAGCAAATAGGTAAGAAATAAAAGACTTTATTCACAGCTGGCATTCAAATGTGTTTCATATCCAGATCATATCTTCATCTGATTTTAACCTGAGAGCACCATGAAATTCTGCTTATATCTCAGCCCGCTGGCTGTACATTCTGTGTGTGCGCTTCAGAAAATCTGGTTTAAATACACAGCCCAGGCTCAAACAGAACGACACTATTCCAGCCAATCAGCTACCAGGATATTCATGCTCATGCACGGGATGGGGGGGGGGCGACGCAAGTTTGCATCTAGACGCATCTTTGCATCTAGACGCATCTTTGCATTGACTTGACACACAAAAAAATGTGTTCTACATTTGGACACAGGTTTTCACAAAAATGCTAAGTGCAGTAGCACCACAGACTTCAGCTAACCCAAAAAAAGGTAACAAAATAACTAAAGGGCAAACACATGCATGCCAATTGGATCACGATCTGTCCACAGGGTATCTTGGGTAAATTTACATATGTACTTTTATACGCTCAAGCTCTATCTGATTCGAATCTGATCATCTAAAGTGCATTTTAATGCAAGAGTGAATGTGGTGAATCCAGAAAAACCACAAAGCAAAAATGGATACTATTAGGCTGTACCATCTTGAAATAATGCACACACACACACGCACGCTAAACATCAAATATTTTCATCTCCCTTATGAATTCTGAAGATGTGGCCAGAGTCCTCACCTGCAGGCAAACACCTGGACCCAGGCATGGTGGAGAGAGCTTTGCAGACAGTGGGAGAGGGTGGAAGGGGTATTGACTGGGGACAGACTGGAGAGGTTGGCCTAAAGCGAAGCACAGTGGGAGACGAATGCTGAGGAGGGAGGGGGCAGAGGGAAGGAGACAAAAGGAGAGGAACAAAAGGAAGCACTGGTAGAGGGATACTGCAAAGTGTGGAAGAACTGAGTTTGGAAATAGTATTTAGCATTGGAATAGGGAGTATAGGCTCCATTATCTGAGGGAGACAGGATTGGACATAAGAATTTAATATGGCTGTCTTGGGTTGCCATCCTCCAGACCGAACTTAGAAGAAGGAGAAGCTATCAAATATCAAGGTAGTAAGAGAAACAGTAAATCGCGGTAATGCACCTTGATGAAGAAGAAGAAAAGTCAAAATAAATCAACAACAAATCAAAATGCTCAGTCACAACAGATATGTGATTATAGGACATTTTCTACAACGCCAGAGTGGGACAGCATGGCTAACACATGCTGCATGAACACATCTTATTTACAACATGACGGGGAGCACATGAGGGCAACAGTGTGGCTGTAGAGACGTAAGTGAAGACAACTGGGGCTGTGTATCAAACCTCGTGTGACACTGTTACTTTGGCAACACACACACACACACACACACACAGGACCCAGATGTCCAGTGGTGATGATGTCATCAGCGGGACAAACAGTATTGACTCGGTTTGGAGAATGGAACCAGCTGCTCAGAAACCTAAATGCTCCTGTTCTGGTCAAAGTATTTTGAAAATACACTGTGAGAAGGTATTATTGACCATCTTCATACATCTGTACACCATTAGGAGGATAGAGCCTGTCTCTTTCAATACATTATATTACATATAATCTCGCTGATGCTTTTTTTCAAGTGCATTCAACCGTGAGGGTACAAACCCAGAACACATACTTTCCACACATACTCCGTTCTCTCTCCAAGCACGACCCAAGGTCAGGTTATAGATAAAGGACCAACCAACAGTTCATTGTAGTGTCTACGCTCAGGGACTTTCATATCTAACGCAGACAGAGGGACACAAACTTTGCGTATTACACCAGTGGCAAGACGTAAGGACAAAATGTGATTTAGGAATGCATACTTTAGACTTAACCATCCAATAGGATGCAAACACCTACATGTTGCATAGAGAGTGACAGCAATTCTAGCCATTCATGGATGTTCTGTTAGAATGGGTGACGCAAGTAGAGGAGGATATACTGGGATGCTGTGGGAGACATCTTCAGACTTGGGGGTGACAGTTGCTCATGCTACTCTGTGAGCATTTGTTTGTTGGTCCACTTTCTTGTCTAGTCAACATTCGAATCTTCTGCATAAGACATCAGCTGCTGCCTGAGTTCTGCTTTCACCAGCTTCCAGAAAACGCAAACATAACAAATTGGCGTCACAAACAGGATCTCAGACGTGGTGAGTACAAATTATATTTTTGTTCTTGCCATATCTATGTTTTAAGTGGGATTGTAAAAAGCTGTGTTCCTTTTCAGTTGGCCTGAAAACAAATATGTTCAAATTTAAAAACATCTAAGATCCAATCAGAATGGTCAGGAAATTCAGTGTCCATTCAGCAGTCAAAACAAATAAAACTCAATACATGTAAAGAAAATACAGATGTTGTATCTGATTAAATTAAAGCTGTGAATATGACCCCTGCAGAGCGGCTTCGGGCAGCACTCGACACAGAGGGACCCACCTGAGGTTTAAACTACAGAAAAGACGTTTTTGTAGTACAATAGGCCTAATTTGTTTGAATCAATAACCAGGATTATCTACTCTGAGTCCTTTGGGAGAAGTGGACGCTCTGTTTGGATTTCTGATCCCAGAGTCTAGGCGCTGATGGTTATAAGAGTGTGTACACAAGGTGAAATACTTTCTGAGTTTTCTTCCATTTTGATTTTAGACCACCACAACTATATTAAAAAGCAAAATGCAACTGGAAGCTCTGATGCTGCAGCAGGAATTAAACAATGAATGAATGTATGAGTGAATGTTCTTTTATTTTTCAAATTGATGTGAATATGCCAACAAAGGAAATAATCATTCCACAGCCGAGGTAAAAAACTAAACAGTGAACGATTTGTTTAAAAATAAAATATGGTAAATTGTAAAATGAAAGTTGAGCAAAAGTGTCAAGTAAATTAAATCAGTGTTAAATAGGCAAAACAAGGTGTCCGGTCCAAAGCAAGGTTCTGCTCCAGAATGGCAGCTACAGTCAGGCAGATAAAAAGATAGACAGAATGTTGTGTCTTTAACAGCACTCATGTGTGAGTGGACTGATGGTGAATGGTCAGTTGCTGGGTCATTTGACCCAGACGGTTCAAAAATAATTATGACTGATCAAAATCACAGGAGATTAAAGAAGCTAGAGCAGATGAAGCCGTAAGCTCCCGGATCTACAATCAGTGATACAATCATAAATATTTAAAAATGCTTAATGTGCTAAATAGGAAGTAAAGTATGTGTATGTGCTAACATTCCTGTATTTTGAGGAATGTCCTACTGATAGCTGAAGGGATCACAGTTTCTCTGAGGCAGAGCTTAGCCTCTTGACCAAATAAAAAAAATCCATCAAGGATTTCAGATACATTAGATAATGTGTGACATGCTTGAGGGAATGAACTGATGTACTAAGTATTTCGATCCTTTAAATTAGTAAAAACTACTTGAGCATCAACAAAACCTAAGTCTAGTATGTGTAAAAAAAAAATTTTGTCCTCTAAGGAGCACAGTGTGCTTTCTTTATAGAAGGCACAAGAGTTAAAATGATTTAGTTATTTTGTCCCCTGTTGCTTATGTCTTGTGTTTTAAGATGCCACGAGGCTCAACCACAACAACGTGCGTTGGCTGCAAAGCAGTGATTGCTGTGGCCACCAAGACCTGCAAGTCTTGCCAGTCCGAGCAGCCCAGAAAGCTGAGACTGGCAAAAAAACTACAAAGGTTTGAAGCAATAAAAGAGGGCTGGCTGGAAAACCAAAAGAAAAACAAAACCACCTCTCATGTTATTGATGAGGCATCTGTTTTGGTAAGGGTTTAATGTATGTAGTTGAAGTTCACAAAATCTAGTGATGTTTCTGTAGGACTTTTTGTATTAACTTGTTTTTTCTCAGCTTGAAAAATTGCACACGTTGGGGCACAGGGCTGTTATGTTCCACGCGAAACCAGGGAAAACGCCTGCCGCCTGGTTCACTCGTGTCCTACAGCCCAAATGGCAGCTGTCTGATCAGGCTGAAAAATGCCTTGATATGATGAAGGCCCTATATGAGGTGCTAATCCATGGTAATTCTAATTTGTGATGATTTTATCCTCAACCAATAGCTCAGTCTACTGCAAAAACTCATAAACACCACACTTAAAGCATAGATTAAATCAATTTGTATGGATGTATTTTAAAAAAATATATAGTGCAAATAATGCATATGCTACATGCACCACATTACTGTTATTTGTTTTTGTTCTATTTAGATTGGAGTAATCAGCATCCCTCCACTCACCAACCCTCCACCATCCCTGCAAACCAGCCCCCCACCATCCAACCGACCACTACTCCTCTCAACCAACCCTCCACCAGTCCTGACATGCAGCCTCCGAGTGGTATGTTGAATCAGTGTATGTTGTGTTAACATTTTTAGATAGCGAACAAATCCAGATCCAGAGATGTGTAGGATTATTGTATTATTACTAAAGTAAGTAAGTAAGTAAGTCATAATATACATTATCTCAAGGCACTTTACATGAAGGTCAAGACCTTAAGATCTTATTTAATATAGAGAAACCCAACAGGACCCAACAGTTTCCCAAGTTCCCAGGAAATCTTCCTTAAATATAAAAAGAAAATGGCCACTTTGTTTCTACAATTGTCGTGACATTACATATATATATATATATATATATATATATATAGAGAGATGTATGTATATGAGCTCTTTACAAAAACGTTTACTTTATTCTCAACAGACAAGTCTGCACAGAAGAAAAGGAGGAAGAACAAAGAAGGTTTAACTGGAGGTAATTTAGCTATCCTATATTTACATTTCAACGTTTCAAATTGGAAAGAAAGCCTCAGATTTTCGAAATGTTTCCAAGTTGATCAACTTGGAAAACGTGGACTCACGACGCACGATATTAGAAAACATGCGATAACACTGTTGAATGTTGCGATGACGATATATGACTTGCGATAAATAACTGCTTAAGTACACAGTGTTTTCTGCTATGGTATTTACTGCTAGCATTGACCCCATACAGTGAGTAGCCTTTGCAGACACTGAAAAAAAAGAAATGCATCGGTTTTATTAAAAAAATTCCACCTGGCTCCTGAAACAGGGACCATGGACAGCTCCCCTGCCCAAGGGAGAAGGGGCACAGCCCTTTCCCTCAGGGTGTGGGACTATATTAAAGACGTGATGTAATTATTTTATACAATCAACTGCTTGTTGACATCAATTTTGCCCGGGACAAACATGATCACTTCAGTTTCCACTCTACTAGAATTTTGTCTTGCAATGATCTGGATATCATTAATTTATCATCTAGGGCAGCAGGCACATGGAACACATGGAACACCATTTATCGAGTCCAAGCAGTCTCATACGTATATCCTGCATGTTGATATCGCAATGACGGTAAATTTAAGATATATTGTGCAGCTCTAGCGACTAGGGTTAAAAACCCATAACCACAATCTCAGCTTTTTAATTGTTCTAATGCTAAATGTGGTTTGCGGTCATCACCATAATCATGTTATGTTTGCTGATGATAAAGCCAACCCTGTGGGACCCCACACACTCAATGGTTTCTGCTGGAGTTGAAGTTGATTGTTAATTGATTAATTGCAGTCCTTGATTGACACACCCAGTTTCTAAGTGTTTCCTGTAGGGTCCCATGATCTCCATGATGCATGTGTCGAATGCAAAGCTTATGTCTCGGAGTATTAGGGTGTTCACTGACAATTGATTATCAAATTGAGAGTAAGTGTACTTTTTTCTTTTTGCTCTTTCAGAATGCAACAATTCAGTCAGTGGAGGAGAGAAGTATCACCCAGTGAAGAGGGTACTGAAAAGCAAACGGCTGAAGGTTTGTTTTGTTGTAATTTAAGGTAAAAAATGTCAGTGGTTATGTACAAATAAATTACTACAACGGGTACTAATTGGATTTCAATTCACCACAACTTCAAAGTATATAGTCATCTCACCATAGGTTTGCTTGTAATGATAAACATGTTTTAATGTTTTTCAGGGGAATGTGATGAAATTGATGGAGTAGGTGCCCTGTTCCATGTGGTATGTAGACTTAATGGTATTACTTAATTTTTACTACAATATTACGATAACAATAAATACAAATAAGCTATTATATATTGTACCAAACATGCCCAATTTACTTATTTTTGTTTGAATTGTTAAATGCTAATGTGGTGCGGTTAAAAATATTTTTAAAAAGCATAAACTCAGAGTAGACCTTAAACACCTTAAACAGACTATTGCAATAATCAGGTCATTTACACTGATCAGGTTACTTTGTGCATGTTAGAATATCTAGTATTTAGTAGTATGGGATAAGTAGCTTACTGTGTCTCATTGCCCTCCTTCCCTGTCAAGTTTTAAATTCCATTCATTGCTAATGTATAAAAAGAATTCTTCTCGTTTGATTACAGTGGGAAGATGTGGCCTTTGCAAGGTGGCAAAGGACAACACCAGGGGTCGACACGCATGCACACAACACACACATGCTTTTTTAGGTGGGGAATGTTTACACCTCTTGAATTAGATCCATAATCTATCATCGATTGGTAATATCAAATACAAGGAATAATATTACCGCTCACTGAACGACACAACGCATGGCTGATGATTCAAACAACATGTAACTATGTGTACGACAAACAACAATAAGGAATCCTAAATGTTTCTGGCGAGACCTAAAAAACTATTTGTGATAACTAATAAAATAAAGATCATAGGCATGGACTGGTTGACGATTGAGAAGGTAAACGGCACATTTCTCACTAGAAGTGTTATAAAAACGTATTTAAATGCCCAAACTATGTTAAAATATGACGTTTTTATCTGAAAATACAAGGAATGTCGGCCATTTTTCATTTTTGCAGACGGCAACTTGGGTCACGTGATGTGGGCACAGGTCAATGGAAAACAACAGGCAGACGAAAACTTAGTCATCTCCCAATTTGAGAGCCCTGATTGTGAGATGACCTTGTTTGCCCAGTGGACCCAGTCCGGTAGCTATTACACATTTTGAGATGAGACTCGCAGGCTTACATCCTTTCGACCAGGCAAACGGATGTATACACTGTGACTGCCGGCTATTGTCCATTGTTAATATCAACTGACAGTGGTAAGTTGGCCAGGTCCTGCAAGCAACAGGGGGACAACAAAAGATTGAAAGTAAAAGACAAAGGGCTGTAAAAGTATTATAAGAGTTCCTGGAATTCAGAGCCAGGCCAGCTGAGGAAAATGGTGTGGTTTCATCAGAACACTGAGATAATTTTAAGTTGGAGAACTGTGGCTTCTATTTTTGAAAGCAAATTGAATTATTAATAATAAGGAAGATGGTACTGAGGTACTGGTACACAAGCTCAGGTACTGCAATGTTTTTTTAGTAGTACATCTGGAGGATGTGCTGCCCTTTAAGCAAGGTGGGTTACGAAGAGGAAATGAATGAGTGCTTCTGAAGGGATATCAAACAAATAAGACTAATCTGAAAATGAATGTATTCACATTACTTTCATGTCCTTCCACAATAAAGACTGTTGGTCATCATTTCCAGCATCAGTTGAAAGCATCAACTTCATCATGTGGACTGGCATAAATCCAGATCTAATAACATGCCTAATTCCTAATAATTAGAAGTCACTTCCAGTGCCAGTTGATTTTTTTTATCCTCTAATCAAATCTGGCGTAATTGATCTTAATCCCAAACATTTTGTGTCCGGTCTATCCTATTGTATTTGATTAATTGGATTTGTCCCACATCACCAGGCTGCTGGAACGCCCTCCTCCATCCACAGTCTGTCGCGTTAAATTAGGACTGGAGGGAAGGGGGTGGGGGTTTGCCAGATCAGCTGATGTCTGTGGCTCTGTATAATAAATGTTGCAACACCTTAATAAAATGTCGGAAAAACTATCAAACTGATTCACGCGTTTATTCGTTTCGAAATCCTTCAGGAAAACAATGAGCCTAACATACTGTATCACTTTTAGATGATGCTTTGGGTGATTTTACTGCTTTATTTTCCCAGCACATATTTCAGTGTTGAAACGCTCCAATTAAATGAATCATCTGTTAAAACAGCCTTATCCTCTCAATAAAGACCTTGGGGGTCGTCTCTGGAGGTCACAGCACAGGGAACTGACAGAGATCCAGGCTCCCAGCTGGTCTCAGACCCCCTTCCCCACTCCTCCTCCCTCTTCCCAGCATCAGCAGCCCTGCAGCCCAGGGCATCCCATAGTCTCAGTCTGCCAATAAATCACACTCCTCCTCCTCCTCCTCCTCAACCACATGGTCCTTTGTACCCTTTGCAGTCCCATTCACAACACTGAACCCTGCATTTTACACTGAATTACCCTTGTACACCAGAATAATACAAACAATATGCACTCTGCCTATACAACATCCTTTGCATAACATAAACTATCAAGAAAAAAACTAGGTTTTATACTTACTGAGTAACAGGCAGAAAAATATATTATAGTAACCTGACTGAAAAGGGTGAAAATAATACATTTGGCAGCAAATACACATCATTAAGGTCAACAAGCTCACTTTTCAAGTCAAAAATCAGACTATACGCAATCTTTTACAATATTATAGAGCAGTTAATGAGACTCATAAACCCAAAGTTGACTATAAACCACTATAATTATTATCTCATGTGTTCAAACAATGATATCATGTCCGCTCTTAGTCAGCAGGACACGCCTTTTTGGAAATTTGGACGTTAATTGAACTGCAGCTCTGAAAGAGACAGAGCAGCGGGTAGAGAGCGACAGAGCAGCGGGCAGAGAGCGACAGAGCAGCGGGTAGAGAGACAGAGCAGCAGCGGGTAGAGAGACAGAGCAGCAGCGGGCAAAGAGTCCCAGAGCAGCGGGCAGTTTCTTACCTTTGTCGCTCCTCTCCGGCTCCATGCTCTACATCGATGACCGCACCGGTGGTGACAATAGAATCAGGGCGGAGGCGCGTGCTCAAACCCGAGGCTGCCCCGCCCCCTTCCACCGGGAGTGGCTGACTGACAGCAGCAGCGGCCAATCGGAGGCCACATAAGAGGAGGCGTGTCTTGTTTTGGCTCTTGACACCTGCTCAGATAGTTTTAGTGCAGGGACTGTTCTACACCTGCCTGTTTGTAATGTTTATAAACAGTCTGAGTGCTCATCCTACCTGGTTTATCTGCAACGAAGATTTGATTGTCAGCGTTTGTCATCAAATGAAATCAAATTTTCTTAATTGATGTTCATGTGTGTGGTTTATATGTAAGTTTGAATGATTTACTAAACATGTAAGTGTTAGATTGATCTGTTCTCTGTTGATAATGCCTGGAGAGAGCAGGCACAGTGGGATAATGTCATAGACGCATCATTGTCTGTTGTCGTGAGTCAGTTGTTTGAGAAGAAATAAAGGGAGTAGTTGTTCTTGCCATTGTTTGTGAGCGTTTGTGCACAATAGAGTATTTTCAAAGCCCATATACCTTGGATGCTACATTGGTGACAGCGGTGGGATTCGAACCCACACTGTCGAAATGACTGGAGAGAACAGGCACAGTTTGATGATGTCATAGAAGTGGTCTGTTGGTTGTGAGTCAGGTCTGGTAAGCAGTTGACACAAGCTAACAACTTTTCAAAACAAAAGCTCTGAAATTCAGCACCATATAAACCATTACAGCAACTAAGCAAACGTTTCCCTATTATGATTCATCAACTGCTAAATGGAAAGAAAGGTTTTGAAGTTAAGTACAAGTACCTGTACCTATTGTACTGAATGCATTGAGTTACTCGTTGATTCTGAAATCCACACGTTCTTTTACCAATCATAAAACTGAATGGATTTAAATGGTGTATCCTCTACGAATGGTTTCTGCTTCTGGAAAACACTTTCAACTTCTATTTTCCTGTTCACTTCAATGTGATTTACAGGAATGATTTGTATTGTATATTAAACTGCACTGCTGTTTTAAATTGAATTTAAATTGTTAATAATCCCAACAACCATCTCCTAAAAAAGATGGATATGTAGTCTAATGCTAATTTGCAATACAAAAGAAATAATGACATTTATTTCACCTGCATATAGATAAAAACTTGTTGTATGCTGCAAAGTATAATTATCAGGAGAGTGAGTCAACACCTGGATCAAGCTTCAAAACTGTAGAATCTTAAATGTCCCATAATGCAACTCAATAGCATCTGTGTACTAGACTCTCCCTGCTGAGTAACAGCAGGGTAACCCAACCCCCGAGGCTATAGATAACCTGATGACATCACATGACATCATGGTGCTTATAGTCTAATGACCTGAATAATAAGGTCATTTATTAGGGCTGCAGCAGACTGACCCCAGTCTCGAGGTACATACTCTCTCATTTGGCGGGTGTGCCAGAGGTGTTGCCCAATCGGCAGCGACATCAATATAAACCCTGCTGTATTAAACAGGCAGTGCATACAATGGATTCTCTAAATGTAGCAGCTCCTGCTCGGTGTTCACATCAGCGGAAGATGTTGGAAGCAGCTTTTCCAGATAGCAAAAGAGCAGACTGTCACATCAAATGTATTTTAAAGTAGTAAACACATATTTAAACATCTACCTCTGAGAACGGCCTTCTCAGCTGCCACTCTGTGTTAAACACACCAGCATTTATTTTTAAATAAACATTTTTATTTTGAAGTTATGTTTTTTTCCAGGCTGAACGGAGCACAGTTCAATTCCTTTGCTACTTGTAACAATGGCACCAGCACACACAGGATGCCATCACTCTGCAAATCCATCCAGGGCCTTCTGAAGTTGTTCTCCTTTTGGCAGGCAATGAAACAAACGCATGAGACCCGCTGAGACCCGACGTCTAGGAAACTGGGACAGACACAGTGGACAGCCCGACACCAAGAAGACAGCTTATTGTTCTAAACTTGCTCGCTGTGGCACACCACCAAATAACAATGGCCAGTCTTGGCCATGGTTTGGGTGGTTTTCACCATCGTGTAGTCTGTTGGGGTAGTGTGGGTTTCACCATACTTCACACGTGCAGTTCCCTGCTCTGTCTCATGTGCTTTCACGTGGCCTTCTCACTGAGCTGCTGGACATGGATCCAAAACACTGCAACTTTCCTCCTCCGGTGGAATCTCCATGGACACTGTTACTGCTACTTTGTATTCCATTCTGCTCGCCTGTATCTCTCTTTAGACTCTTAAGTTGATTTCGTGGATATAAATGTTTATTGTACTGTTGTCAACGCAAAAAGTTGGCTTCTTCTCCAATAATTGTCGCCAGCATGCCCTTCCCAGGCGGGCGCCACCCCGTCTGAGATACTCCAGCGGATTTGTTGCTGCTGTGAATGCGTCTAAGCGAAGAATCTCCCGCTGCGTGGTTCATGTTTTAAAGAAAATGTCCGGAGAAAGTCCGGACCCAATTCTCTGAACATCCTCTGTCTAAAAAACGGCTCCTGTGTCTCATTGTGTTTTACTTCACTCCCTGTAGTGTTTGTTGTCTGTACCTGTCTTCTTGCCTCCTTGTCTTCCCCTCCGTCCATAAGCCTGGTTTTCTTCAGTCCTTAAAACAACTTCACTGAAGCAGCCTGCACGTCTGCGTTTGTGTCCAGAAATGAAATGAAACTGTGATGTGGAATCTGCCCTGAGCACACAGTACATCTAGGTTTGATTTAATTAGACCAAACTTCCAATATTCATGTATTATTACCTTGTTAAAGGATTAGAGAGGAGGATATGACAAAACAGAAACAAACTGAGATGATGAGAGAACATAATATAAATAACAGAACAGATTCCCTGTCAGAGATAAAGGATGTTTTTGGCAGAATTATGTGCTCTTATCTTCTGATGATTATTTCAATAATAATCCAATAAGGGATTTGATTTCAGCCTCGTGCAACCACGATATATCACATAACATTTATTTCAAGATGGACACTCCTGAAGTGCACATTTGCAACGAAGCCAACACGAAAACAAGCCAGACAAAGAAAATCAGCAGGAACAACCGAACAACCATGAAACATCTGCTTTCATTATCCTATTTATTACTGCTATGTTATAACAAAAAGTATTCCTTTTTAAAGATAAATCATTTATCCAAAGAAAAAAACCAACACTTTCTGGTTGTGTGACATGAAAAATATGAATTTATCTCAGCATTCTCTCTGTTTCTATGAAGGTCTATATTCAAGAACTTCACAAAGTTTTTCGTCAGTTTGAATCTTGCACCCCAGGCTCTGAGCAGAGAGTGGAGGCCCTCAGTGTCGTTTTCCCTGGGTTCCTGTTCACCTGAAGAGATAAAATCTTACTCACACACTGAGTCCTCCTCCAACATGTGAGAACGATGCATCATCTACTCGAAGGTGTTATCAATCAGACCCAAGGGGGACGGAAGTAGTGCTACTGAGGGGGCTGCAGCAGCCTCTACTGGTGAGGGTCTGTAACCACAACTTTACCTCAATAACTCATCTATCTACTGACTCAGGAATGTCTGTCTGTCTGGGTGTATTTGTCTCACATATATTGAGGACCATTTGTATTATCGGCTCCACACTTGGTGTGGTGTGTATTGGCTACGGCCCAAGAAAGAGCAGTGTCCATTTTGATGCAATTTGGACACTTGATATGAATTCAATTTGAATAAACAGACAACCAGCACTCTGTTGCAGAGACTAATGGGACTCAACTTAAATGATGTAGATGACGACAACAGTTTATCCACGACATATTCAAGACAATGAACGTGTTCACGACAATGGCAACAACTGATTCTCCAGTTTGCGCTCCTGTGTACTCGGGCTTCATTAAACTTTGAATAAACAGGTGAACATCTCTTTGTGCAGCAGCGGTGGCGCAGCTTCAAGGTTCTATAGACGGAGTCCAGCAGGTCTTTACCTCCTGTGGCTCAACTACCGCAAATCACTTCTCAGAAACCTGCAACCCAAACAGCCATGCTTTGAATGGGCACTGCCCTAGTATTTTAAATATTTGACTGAATTCCATCGTCCCTGATCAGACTAGTGCTGCCTGAGCCTGAGGCTGTAACCATGTTCCCCTCAAATTGGAATAATAGGAGAATGTCGACTCTTACTTGAAGAGAACTGTAAAATTGATGATGGTGTCTCATTGGGTTTCCCCTGTGTTGACTCAGCTTTTCTAAAACAAGCCTTTACATGCAGCAGAAAACCTCTTCAGCAGGGTTTTCAGCCGACAAATTTAAACACGTTTGACACGAGCACCTGTATTTATCTGAGTAATCACTTTTGCTTGCGAACTTAAAAATAAAAAACAATCCATCAAATCTTTTCGAACTCAAATATACTTGAGTACTAGATCATAAAAAAGCTCTCATGCCTTCTGAGACATGTTGGAGACACTGTGCATCATATAGCTTCGTCCATGTCCCATCTGGGAACATGGAGCAGGCAGGGTTTATGGCCTAAACGGAATCCAGCCAACAGGGGGCAATCACAATGTTTTGAATTCACTTTTAGGAGCTGTTGTGCATCTTTACATCTATCATTCACATGTGAGTAAGTTGGACATTGTCCCTGAAAAACATCCACGAATTCAACTACCAATTTGACGACTACTGAACAAACCCAAACACTTTTGACTTTTTGGATAAAGCACTTTAATAGCAGATGGATATTAGAAAGAGGACATGATGCTTTATGACAACAAGTTAGTGTGTTACTTACAGGAGCAAAATAAAATGGGATTCGACACTCTTTTAAAATTCAACTCATAATCTGATATGTTTTTTCTTCGAAAGCGTTCTCCTCCGTGATGCTACTCATTCGACACTACACTCTTACGATTTAAAAAATAAAATCCCTTCCTTACAAATTGCAATTAAATAAATACCTATAACACAAGCTAATGTAAGCGACGGACTCAGGCATTTCATTTGACGTAGTTTAACCAGAAAATAACTCAATCACTCAAACCACATTGTTGATAATGTTTTCACACGTTTCTAATCTGAGGTCAGCGGACAAACCCCCATTTTCCCCATCCTCATGCATGCCTTGAAGAGTTATACACCATGGATTGTATACAGACAAATATATCTGGTATATGTCCAGTACATGTTCACATACATTGACAGTATGTCAGTTGGAAAATCGATCGATTTATGGTCCAGAAAAATCAAGCAAAGCTGACAGACTTCAGCTTCTACATGTGTAGCGTGTTACTGTACGCAGCGATGCTTTCAAACGACAAACATAGAAAGAGTTAGCTCTCTATCCGAGGAGATATAACACAGTTATAGTATTGAGTTTTAATTCAAGCAAGACCTCACTTGTTTTGCCTAAGTGCTGCCGCAGGACGGTGAAGCTTAACAAAGTCAGCGTGGCCATTTTCTTTTTCTTTTTTTCCTTGTAACAAAATCATGATTTCTCTCAGCTGTATTTCATGACTGGTGTAATGATCCTTTCCAGAAGTCAAAAATAGCTTATAAAAATAATTTCTTTTTGTTTCGTTTTTTTAATGTGAGTGCATGCCACTCTGGCAATGCTGCATGTTTGACACCTTTGTATCGACTGAATCTTTCTATATGAGTTTTCTCCTCTGTTTTCACTCCCGCCCCTTCTATCCGTGATTTACTGCCATGTTGTGGCCCCTCTCCAGCCCTGGCTCTCGCTATCTGCGCTGATTTACGAGAGGCTTACGTAAGATATAGGACCGCATTCAAACGGATCAGGGCACAAATATCAAAACCACCCGACCAGGATTTCCCAACTTCTCTGACTGAATACAACATGAAGGGAAATTAAAAAAGAAAAGCTGATGATAAGATAAAACTGAAAGAGAAGCCAAAGTTGTTTCTTATCCCTGTCTTTGGCCTTGACATGCTCAAATAGTGAGTGTGTACAAGTCTGTCAGTCCTGACGTAATGGCGAGGTGTAGAAATGAACTTTCCTAGTAACAGTCAGTCAGCGCAGGGATAACAACATAAGATGATGGAGAGAGAGAGAGAGAGAGAGAGAAAGAGAGAGAGAGAGAGAGAAAGAGAGAGAGAGAAGGCAGAAGATATGTACACACAGATAAGATGATGAACCCTCACATTGTGATGGAGGAAAAACTCCAGATAAAAACAGGGAGATAAGTCAAGACCGACAGAGTCCGAAGAAGGCGCACATAAAACAGTCAGAACCACAGAAACCTGGAGGAAGGTCTGCACAAGAATTAGAAAAAGCTGTTATTTTTGCCAGGGTGTGTGAAAGCATTGGGATCGCCAGGAGAGGGTGGGGAGGATGCAGAAACCACATGGGAGGCGAGGAGCATCAACACAGGCCATGCAAACGCAGCTCCTCGTCCTCCTCCGTGAGGCTGTCAGTCAAACATTCAGACCACATCGCATACAAAAAGCTATAGACGCTGCCTCAATGTGAGAATGCTCCCACACGGAGCGCCTCTCCGTGGCGTCACAGGCAGATGGCATGGTGTTTTACAGGTGGACAGTCGGAGCATCATGGCGGTGCATATATAGATATTTCATGGATTGGGTTTTTCCTTTTTCTGCTTCCTTCCAGACTGGACGGTTGGCTGTTGAGATGTTGCTTTTTTTTTTCCTCTTTTCTTTATTATATGTGTGTCCGTCTAAAAAAGGCGTGCCCTCTTCTTAAGGTCGTTCTTCTTCCAGAGGGCCAGGCGGTCGAACTGATCCAGGGTCATGCCGAAAACATGCTGGAAGTCCTCGGGAGAAAGATGTCTCTGGAGAGGAAAACACAGCAAAAAATATTAGGATTCATTTATTTAATCTTTACTAAAGCATCAGTGAGGCGCTTTTCCACGACAATCCTCCAAGACGGCTCCAGTGCTGCTTCAGAAAAGATTCAGAGTCTCTGGGAATCGATAACCATCAAGTTTCTATAATAGAGAAAAGTCTCCATGGTGGATCAGTCGGAGTTTGCATTAGAGTCCTGCACTGGGTCAGGTACCTAATGGGTAATAGTTATTTAACATGTATGTCTATATATAATTCAGGGATACATGTACAAATTAACTGAACCTGAGCACAGTGGGGGAGAATACATTTTTTCTGGAGAAACAGAACATAAAATTATTGCTCTGTATTTGTTTTATTGTGAAAGCCTGCAACCTTCACCTTTGACCTCTTCACCGACAGCGAACATGTCATTGCTAAGGAAACACATCGACCTTCCACTAACCTAGAGGAGACAGGATTTATGACCTATACTGCAGCTTGCCACTAGGGTGCGATCAAGACACTTTGGCTTCATCTTTTAAAAGTTGTCATGGCGTCCAACTTTATATACTTTATAGTCTATGGTGCAGTCCAATGAAACATTTTCAACAACAACTTTTGAATGGAGAATTTATAGCAGAACTTTTAAAAACCACATTAGCTTTAGCTAAATGTAATAAACTACCAGCAGAATGCACATAACCCTGACGCTAGCTTCTCTCTAGCCTGCTGAGTTTCCACGGGGCTTCATGATGAACCAGATGTTCTACTGAGTCGGAAAAACACCTTGTTCTTTGGCTCAATTCGTCAAAACTTTTACCTGAACCAACATCATGATTTCAACCTGGCTTCCCTCACCCCCCCCCCTCTGCTGTTCGGCAAATCAGTAGCAGCTCCAAACTTTCGCACTGGATTCACATGTAAGACTTTGACGGAGCCCTAAAACCCTATTTGTGCTCACCACATAAGCAAGCGTTACATTGCCTTCTGTATTGAGGTTTAACACAACAAATTCAATTCTGTGCGTCTGAAGTTGATCCAGACTGAGTCACCATCCAAACCCCAGCTTTGGCTCCCGCTGCAAACACTCACCACCTCCTCTGTAAACGTCACATATATAGCATGGAACGAAAACACGCGTGGTTCTGATTTAGACCCAGAAAAGAAAGAGTACACGCTGCTTTGTTGTAAAACTATGGCTGCGCTCCGTTTCAGCAAACATGCAATTCTGCGATGACAGTGAAAGTAAATTAAAGGCAGGCGGCCGCTGCTGCGCGATCGCCAATCACCTGGTCGCCATACCAGTCAACAAAGGGAGGGGGGCGGTTTTCACCCAACAACCAAAAACATCCACATCCTTTTCTTTGCATGCTGACGTGACAAAAGTACATTGAGAGAATACACACTATTATCACCAATTTGATCACTTTCATTGGAAGATGTACATTTCTACCGCATTTCTTCAAAGGGTAGATCAACAAGATTGTTTTTGAAATCTGCAGTTCTAATATGCTACAGCTTTCATTCAGTCCATAAGCAAGGATTGGGCCACACATCCCATAAACTAGTGCTTTATATGGCAGCACTGTCTAAGTGCTGGTGTCAAAACAACATTGCTAAATACTGGGCTTCAGCATCTATATCATTTAGTTTCTTTAATGGACTCAATTATATTTGAAAATAGTTGAAAACTGACACTCCACCACGCACCAAATTACACACAGACATAGATATCAGTTCCAGGGTTGGGCAATTGGACGAATATATTGTCTATACAGTTGTTTTATTGTTTTATGGGGGGGGGGATTGGTTGGGCAATTTTGTCGTTTTATTTTTGTAATATAATGGTCTGCCTCCATGAATGTTCATCAATTCTATAAATACATAACATAGGAACTGGCACTTCTCATATATTATACTATATACATGTATATTAATCCATTCATTCTGTCCATCTTGACCTCCTGTCTCTCTCTCTCTATGTCGTGTTAGAATCTTCCGCCAGGTTTCAAGGATATTGACTAAGTAGTTTTTGTGCGGTCCTACAAACAGACAAATGGCAATGAAATATGACCTCCTGAGGTAATAAAGGTTTCTAGTCTTTATGCTAGGCTAACCATGTCCTGATTCCAGCTCTGTAACCTGGAGATGTGAGAAATCAATCTCCTCTTCTCAGTCTCAGCACATAAAAGCTTGCTGGCTGACGCTTAAGCACAAACTCCTCTCATAAACACAACACACAGTTCAAAATATTGTATTTGCTTGCACTACCTCATGGGAAACTGTGTCTATTTGGCTCTTGGTTTGAGTTTTGAAACTACTCTAGCTGCTGATTACTTTGGGTAAACCAGCAGCACTTTGGGGTTAAGGATCAAGAAAAGTGATGGATAACAGAGAGGCTGGGGTGTTTCTCTCCAACACACATGCATTCACACTAATAGTACAACTCCGATCTAATGTTCCCAACCACAGACGGACATCTTGAGTCGGTATCAAATCCCTACTCTCATGGTCCGACTGCTCTTGGGAGAATATTTCCAATTAAGCAGAAGGCTCACAGAGTTCTCTTAGGGTTACTGAAGGTTTAAATATTTTAAAAGGGTGTTTTGGGTGAAAAAGGTTCATGAAACTTCTTCTGACTGCAAAAGGACCACAAATTAGTTTTTTAGGTTATTTTGAGCCTAAAACATTTCCTGTTTTCAACAGCACAAAGTTAATGAAAGTTTGGAATCTGTAAATGGGTAGTGTTAGAATAACAGCAGCAGGAAATCAGTTATTTCGCAACATTAAGTCCAATTATGCTTAATTTTTTATTATAAGACATGCTTGTGGGCTAAACTTGCTGTGACCCAGGGTGAAAGAAATAATGCTACCACCAATTATTCTCACATTTCTCAATGCAATCTCACAGTCCACTGAAGTTATGTTGCATTTCACAACTTCAACTTCAAATATTTTTCTTAAAGCAAACAAAATAACGTGGAATAAATAGTTTCAGTCTCCCCACCAGATTTTTGGATCTGGGTGCAGGAGTTTCTGTTTCTTTATGGAACTGGCTTTGTGCTGGTTTTGGGGAAGGCTGAACACAAACTGTTGACAAAAAGCAGAGAGACCACTGTGGCCTACAATATAATTGAATGCTGCAGCATCTCCCATCGCTGGAGCTAAAGGCATCAGTACCAACACATTCCTGATGTGTTAACAAATATATTTTTTGAATATAAAACTTGGTGAAATTACTTCAGTTTGTGTATCAGTACTTTTTGAACATTTTCAGCAGATTCACAGCGATAACACTAATAATGTTTTCACACTGTGCCATCTCTCAGCTCAATATTATTTACTTTCAAAGAAATTTAACATTAAAGGGTTGACAACTCTTGTATGCAGAAAGCAAACGTTATTGTACAAATGAGAATAGCAGAGTAATATTTTGAACATCAAAAGTAAGTAAGTGGTTGTAAAATTCAAATCCTGGATATGTTCACACCTCCAAACAGCCATCAAGTCATTGAGTAAACTCAGAGACCAGACGACCAGAGAACACACTTCCGTCCAAATACTTTTGGCCATGCAGTATATGAAAGAAAAGCAGAAAACTTGTTTCTCTCAGGCTTCCTGATGAGCTGTGGACAGAGGAGGGGAAATGACAGAGCAGGGAGAGGAAGATTAGAGCTCACCTCCAGTCTGGTGCGATCTACGTCTCTGGGAAGCTTCACTTTCACTCTATGTGTCACTGCCAGCATTTCATAAGGGTAGACCTGGCACACACAAAGTAAGCATTGTGGGAGATTTACTTAGGGATACGATTTTAATCCAGTGTCCAAAGCAAGCTGCCAAGAATATTAAGGTATATTTCTTAAGTATTAACAAACTCTTACCTTGTACTCTGCAAGGGAACAGAGGGAGAGAGAGAAAACAGAGAATTAATCTGGTGGAACAATGAGTTTTTATTTGAATTGTAGACCTATTATGAAAACTACCATAATAGAGCCTGACTCTGGACCCAAATCCTCTCAATAATATTGGGTTTCAAAGGCGTCAAAAGCAAGGGCACACACGCACACGCACACACACACACAATGATGGTCTTGGCATCCTCTCAACTCCCTCTTCGCTACAGCCTCAGATAAAGCCAGGACTGTACAACACACACTTGTAAACACACAGCAATAATTCTGCAGCTGGAAAAATGACGTCACCTATCTACCCTGTTACCTCCAGTCACTGATCTGGAGCCAGAGCAGCAGGGCTCTGTATTCATGGTCAGGGATTATAAACTGATCAGCTTTCAGAGAAAAGATGATAGGGGCTTTTTCACATTTTATATGATATCAAGATTTCCCACATAGACAGAGGTCACAGACATGAGAGCACATCTGAAGCTTAGATTGATGCAACTCTCTCCTGGTTGAATCATCAGTACAAAAGATGAGCAGCTGTGGTGAAAATATTTGGTTCTTTGATTTTAAAGGAAAATGATTGCAAATAGAAATCAGCTAAGTTAACTTCTGCAGGTTGCATTTGAAAAGATGAAGCTAAAGACTACGCTTTGTAAAACCTGAATTCAGTATTCAACAGTTTGAATCTAAATTTGATTTAGGTAAGTATGATGCTTGTGATTTGTTTCTCTGTCACAATGGTGAAGCCTTATTGTCTTCTTAAATTGAGCCCACAGAGATCACAAACAAATTGAATAACTCTGTAGGGGACCTAGAATGAGACCCTGGGGTACTCCACAGGTCATGGAGGTCAACATTAATCACAACAGCCTAGCCTCTGACTTCAAAATAAGATCCAAAACATCAGAGGGTTGCACTAGATGGATTTTCCAAACTGCAGAGGTTTATTTTATGGTCACGGGCTTCCATACAGTGCTGATATTTTCCCTGAATTAGTTTTCCAGATGAATGTCATTTAACTTTATTATCAGTGCAATCTCTATGCAATGATGCGGTCTGAAGTCAAACAGGGGAAAAATACTTCCAGAAATAGAAACTTTACAATTCTCTAGCTATAGTTTAAAGTATGAGTTCAAATAGAATTTGAACTGTTCACACTTGGACTGCAACTTACTTCATTTTTGTTTAATTGTCTGAATTTGGAATAAAATACCTGAAAGTTGTGTAAATTGCAATTTCCTGTTTTGTTCTAACCAACAGTTGTGTACGTTGCTGTTTATATATCTTACACAGGATCATCTAATTATAGGGCATAGAAATGAACAACTTGGAATGGAATAAACTCATCATATTTAACATATGGCTGCAGCCTTTTCACAGAACATTAACCTCAGACTGTTTCATCCAAAATCCAAAGTTTTGGAGGCGATTCAAAACAATTAGAGTGTTAATATCCAAATATCTGCTGACTGCACTGTATGTATTTTAGACACTTAGTTGATGCACCTACACTACAGCACTGGAAAAAGCCTGGAAACCACGAACATTAGCCAGAGCAAAGAAGAGCTGAAGATAAATGGCTTAAAGTTATTTTTCGCTCTTACCTCTCATGCCTCCCCAGCTGTGGGAGTCGGGGTCCACTTCATCCTCCACCATCTCAGCAGTCTGCAGAAAAAGAACATTGCTGGTCTAAATCACTGGGTCTTAGGGTCGATCTGAGGCCTTTCAGCCACCGCCTCTGCCCTTGATTTGCACACATTCTTTCATGGTGACCATTATGAAGTGAGTGTGATGCATTGATGATAGTGAGCTGACATCACTTAGTTTGGAGCGACTAAAAGGCAGCTAAGGAAAGAGGGAGGCAGTCACTGCAAAACAGCCTTTGTTTGTCCACTAATGGAGCTAATTGAGGTTGACTATTAAAAAAAACTTCAAAAAAGTTATCGACAACAGCTTTGAACTTTTAGTCACTGACGCCAACTAAAATCACATTTTCTCCTTTAGTCGCTAAGTGTGTGGGCTGCTGCTGTGATTGATTAGGGACTTCCAGAGGAAATTTAAACAAAGTTGACTGCTAACTATAGCAGTAGAAGCTATGGAAGGTGTTCTGTTAGCAGTGGTGTTAGATGGTAATGACACACATCATTTAGCATCTAAATCATTCGATCTTTGCATACATAGGTTAGGTTTTTGCCTTCAATGTAACATTAGCTTAGCATTTCCTGGAGTTCAAAAAGCCAAAGTGTGACACAAGACATGTTCCTGCTAGAAAAGTGGCGGACAGATAACTTCCTTCAAAGATATAACCATGTCCGGTAGTTGTAATCACACTGATGTCGATCAATCAATCAAATTCTATTGGTATAGCCAATATTCACAAATCACAATTTGTCTCATAGGGCTTTAACACGCTGTGACACCCCCTTCCCCTAAACCTCAACAAGAGTAAGGAAAAACTACCCAAAAACCCTTTTGACAGGGTCAGAGAGAGCCACATGTGAGGGATCCCTCTCCCAGGACGGACAGAAGTGCAATAGATGCCGATGTACGTTCAAGTTTGGTTTTGATGATTAATTTGATGCTTTATAAATTGGGTGAAACATCACGATTGACAGCTGAGACCAATGTGATTGGTCAAGCATGTGTAAAGGCGGGACCTCGCTTCAGCGGTTCCATTCCTTGATCTCTACAAATAATTTGGCTGCATTTCTGGATGCTGGGAGGAAGTGGAGACATGTGTTACACAGTCTAAGAATGACACTGTGATTACTATGGCATGTTGACGATAGCATTTAGCTCAAAGCACCACTCTGCACCACAAAGCTTTATAATTATTGTGCGTTGGCTGTAGCAGAAAAAATTAAGTGCAATAAAATGTCCCTTCAGCTATAAATGGAGACTGAACACAATTCCATTCTGTATGAGTTTGTAATTACACAAAATGCTTATCAATGTAAGTCAGTATAATATTACATAGTGTAGTTACTTAACAAATAGAAAAAAATCAACTTCCAACACCCTAAAACCACCACGTCAACAACACTAAGCAGTAATGTCAGCAAGTGAAAAATAATGAAGTATACTTTGGGCCATGAATCCGTTGTGGCTCCCGAGCTTTCATTTCCTCCTCGGTTCTGTTTTGTCTGCCTGTCTACGATCCATCAACAATCACAGTGGGAGAGCAACAATATCACACCAGGGGATGATAGACTAAATATCCCCAACGTTCTCATAATAAACTGGCCCTGCCTGTGTGGAATGAAGGGTACCGACTGACCTCTGTGTAAACTGATACCAAAGCTGTGAGAGAGGGGCTCGAGGGGAGGTTGAGTTCTAAAAACAGAGGAAAACTTCGAAACTGTCTTGGATGCTACTCGGAGGACTCCAGTGTTGATAGCAGAGAGTGGGTGGTAATGTGGAGGTGTTGATTTGATACAGATCTTGATGTAAACTCACGAGGATGGAGTTTTATATGACGACTGTGACACTGCAAGGTTAGACAAGAAACAGCACCACTTAGTGGTCTGAAAAGCAAAAGCTTTTAGTTCCTCACAACACCTGAGAGCAAGATTGAAGGTCCCCTAATCTCCAGGGGCACTTGGTTTGCCGACAAGCACACTCCTCATTTCCCATTAGGAGTCACTCTCCTCAATATGTGCTGGAGCCTGACCTTTATTAAGTCTGACTAAAATGGAAAGGACATTGTTCAAATTTAAATCAGAGTATTGTGTGATGGTAGCTTGGCAGAAACAGACTTCTTTGTGCCAAGTGGGTCAGTCAAGAGTTTAGGTTACAATTAGAATCAGTTAAATTATTAACGGAACTGTCCATTGTAAACATCCTTCGAAGTCAAACCCGGTCACAGTTCTGGTTCAGTTTTGACCCAACAAGTTTACCATAGTTGTTAACCCCTCTCTTCAGGTTTTACCTCCATATAAAATGGTCAGGTTCAGTTAACTTGTTGGCTTGATTACTACCTCACGTTTTCCAGCAAATTTTTTATCCAATTTTCTGTCTCAAATCACTGCTTATATTCATTTTAAAAGTTTTTGACATGCTGGTTATTTTTCATGGTCTGGAATATTTCCACGCACTGTTTGAAATTTCATCTCACTGATTTCACTGTTTATTGCTCACTCTCCCACATTTCACACTGCTGCGGCTTCACATTTGAACTGTTCAAGCTGTGAAACACAGTGTGGCTTTTATTGTTTAGCAGTCATAGGACATGCATTGTCCTTGCTACACCAAATAGGCAGCTCACCTTGTAGATTCCGTTTCTTCCATATCCAGGTAAAGATGCAGACTTATTGTAGGGGAAATCTGTAAAGAAACAAATCTCTGTTTGCACTGTTCAGTATCAGATTGGTCACGCCAGGCTGAGCTTGTGATTGGCTACTCACTTGGCTGGGAGGTGTCAGTGGGCAGGCTGCAGGTGGACTTGCTGGGGTCCAGGTCTTCTGGACCCATGTGTCCATCAATCTCACTCTTCAGGATCATCCAACTGGTCCTCTACAGGGAGCGAGAGAGATCCAGAGAGAGAAAGAGAGACAGGAAGATGGAAAAGAAGTGATGGATGATGGCAAAGTGTGAGTTAGTGAATTAGTAAATGGATGAACAGCATTTGTAAAGTTTGAGAAAATGACTTGAAAGGAGACAGATATGGACAGATGGATAAAGACACAGATACACACGGACCCACCTTGCTATCCTCCCCATCCTGCCAGGATGTTCTAGAAGCTGTAAAACAGTCACATGTTACAGGGTGTCACAGGTAACGTGCTGGAGATCATCCGTCTCTCAGCTCCACTCAACTTCACTACTAACTCTAAACAGTGTAACCCATCCCTGTGACATCATCAGTTGCAGACGGCATCTACAGGGAGCTCGCTGTGTGAGTGTATTTTAAAACAGGGTTGGATAGAGATCACTCACATTTGTATCAACACTGTTTTTAAAGAGGCCATGCTGAACATTTTGGGAGTTTGGCCCATTGGACATCAGAGGGAAATGTTTCAACAGATACAGCAATGATTACGATCAAATTTGGTCAGGATGTTCCCATGACTGCAAAATATTTAAACTTGAGCTTGGTCAGATATAATAATAAATAAATAAAAGCAGTGACAAATACATTTGTTGTGAAAATTAATGACCGAATATCGATTACATTTCCAGTGAATAATCAGCCACTGCATTCATGACACAGGAAGTCCTAAATGCCTTAATACTCTTTTTAAACAGTGATGAAACTGCATTAGATGTGGTTTCCAGCGATATTGGCTACCTGCTATTAGTCACATAGCTACAACAGTCCAAAATGCAACTGTGTTTTTACATTGTCATGGATTGAATGCAGTTTTGTTGTAAATTTTGGATTTCCCCTACAGTGTATAGGGTTAGGGTTATTAATATGTCTAAGCTATTGTTTATGTATGCATGTGATGGTAATTTATGTGCATGTAATAAAAACCCAAGGGCACAAATGAAGTCACTGTCATCTAGTCATCACTCATTTGTGCTCACACATTACAGATTGCATTTCCTTTCTCTAAGTGGATGTCAAAGATATTAAAAAGCATTGGTTTGTGCACTAAACAGAGGTTTAAATGACTACTGTTGTATCAGATACATGAGCAATAGGCCAAATTCCCGCAAAGTATACATGGCCTATTTAAAAGTATTGTCACTTTACACAGCCATTTTACAGAAATCTTTGCTTGACAGAATGGAGGTGTGGATTTTCTTGTTTCTATTTTTCATGGCAGATATCACGCGCCCTGTCACTGACCTCACGTCTGCCTGAATGAATCCATTCAAGATGCAGACACTCAGCTCGTAAATCTGTAGGACCACGCCATATGCAGCTGATTTACTTGTCATTTTTGATAAAGATGAATATCTCCTTGTGTGATGGAGGTGCAAACAGGCTTCTTGGACTCCTATAGTATGTGTGTGACGTGAACATATAGCTAGAGGGGAACTGTAGTGAAAAAAAACCACACCATAATTAAGACACACAAACAATGGTTAGGGGTGAGACATAGTGATTGAATCGGTGAGTGGTACAACCATTATGCCACCATACAAAGGGATTCACGTACCCAACTGTTCACAGTGAAAACACAGTCACAGCATCACCACTGAACCAACAAATGAGCTGGTGAGATGAGCGCAAACATGCAAGAACGAGGTTGAGCAAATTAACACCCAAGGGCCCCACTGCCAATCAGCTTCAGTCCCAAATGAGTAGGATAATCAATGTGTAACTGTTGCAATGACAAATCAAACGGTGAAATCTAGGGCAATGTTTATATAACCCAATTATGGAGGCGTCATTTCTAATATTAATGTCAGTCTCCTCAACATGATGTTACCTCTGGACCCTGATCAGCAAACTTTCTCTTCCCTGTAGCTGATTTTAATTTCGACAACTGCTGCTCTACTGCCCCCTAGGGGTTAAATAACATTTAACGTCATGTTTATTGTGTGGCATACATCCCAATCAGTTTAGTCACAGGTGTTATCTTGCATTTGAACCCCAATGGGAATGTGTGCAGGGAGGGAGTATCAACAAGCACTTCATTTGAAGCATATTGTTGCCTTTGGACAATTGAAATTCAGGGAAGTTGGATGGAACACAAATAGTGGTCTCCATCATGGAAGTTGAATGTGCTACACCCTTACTTTCCACTTCACTTTGAAGAGGACGAAGATCTTCCTGCATTGACACTGAAATTTGGCTTTAAACACAAATAGTATGCAGGGTATGACTGTTAATTCCTAGGGATGCTGGACTGAATGTGTCCTGTTTCTGTGTGTGGAGCAAATTTAAACTTTGTTGTATCATTCAAACAGACTTTTTTGAAATAACAAGACTGCACCAAATCTGACCCTTCAGTTATTTTTGGCACAATTCCTCATTTGGTTTGAACACTCAGTTAAATTAAAGCTTTGCTACCATGTGTTATTAGAGCCACCTAGGGTAAAAATGTCATTGTTA